CCCATTCTCAAACCGTGCCAAAAAAATAAATGTACATTAGTCAAAGAATATTGAATTTAATGTATAAATTTGTATAAAAAAGCACAAGTTTGTTAAATAAAAGTATTAATTTCAAATTTAAACGGATCATAAACATAAAGAATAAAAGATAATGAGTCCAAAGTTAAAAAATAATTTTTTTCTCAATTCATATAATATGGGAATACTAATAACTATAAAAAAATAATGCTAATAGTAATGATAAATATAATGAGAACAATAATAATGAGAGAGCTTAAAAACGAATAATAAAATACGAAGTGTTCTATATACGGTAAGATGAGGTAAACAAATACTCCATAATTATTTGAGATACGTGCTCCGTATATAGCGTTAGACGGTTCGGTCCGTGATAATCGGTTTTAAATATATGTATCACGGTCCCGTCCCATTTGGTATCGGTTCGGTTTCGGTTCGTGATGAAAAAAATCAATCCTGTTTGAAAACACTATAAACGGTTTGGTACCATTATGGTCCGGTATGGTACCATGCTAGTTCGGTTTTTTTGCCTACCCCTACCGCCACTTATAAAGATTTAGCCGGGACCTAGAGGCGGACGACGTTCTGCAGCTAAACATGACCATCTAATTATAGATGAGGAAGTATCTGCCTCTCATTTAGATGCAGATATTTCCGCCTCTAAATTAGAGGCAGAAATATCTGACGCTAATGTAGAGGGAGACTTTTTTTCGTCTCTAATATAGAGGGAGACAAGTCCTCCGCTAACCTTGAGGGTGATTACTCTACTACTAAAAATCCATATGAATAGTAGGGGAAAAGTTCCTCCCTCCTCCCCTCAAATCGTATATTTTTATTTAAAAAAATTAATTTTTTCAGGTTTTTAATACAATAAACAACACAAAAAATAATATTGAGGGAAAATTATATGGTACATCCAGATGTACCTTCCTTTAGGTACATCCTGGTATTTTTGTAAATTTTGCAAATTTTTTATCTAATGTCAAGAACATATATGAGAACTATTATATATGACAATGAATACCAACAGATTTGAGAAAGAGTACCAGCACTTATGAGAATTATCACATTTTTATTCAATACAAACATGAATAAACCTAAGTTTTAAATTTTCCATGCTCAGAAAGTATAAATGAGTAGGAACGAATCGAATAAATGAAGAAGTTGATAATGGTACTGAAATTTTTAATTGTGAAAAAATTGAACAATACTTTATTTCAGAATGAACATTTCCTTATTTGAGAATGAGTATTGTTTTTTTAAAGAATGAACACTACGCTATTTATTATAATTATATTAGATAAATGTGTAAAAATGAGTACTTCTTTATTTTAAAATGAGTACAGAGTACTATCTTTGCCAGAATGAGTCCTACATATTTCGAAATGAATGTTTATATTTGTACGAGAATGAGTACTACTTTGTTTAAGATTGAGTACTACCGGGATGTACCTACTTCTAGGTACATCCGGATGTACGATATACCAACTCAATATTGAGGCATCCAAACATCAACACACAATAATATCATTACAAATGCTTACAATGAAATTACGCTCAACCTCTACTGTTTTCAATGTCTACCAACATCAAAAGCTTAATGAGCATAACTGCACAAATTTCTTACACCAAGACAAAGATGAGACTGCATTTGATACGACGTAGTATGATTGTCAGATGCTAGTGTGTGTTTACTACTCTATAAACGAACATGTTTACTAAGCTCTCTAGGACGTAACGGTCTCTTTGATGACTTAGACTTCCCCCGTGCTGTCATACTTTGCCCTTTATCATTTAATTTGTAGACTTTTATACAAAATCGAATATTGATCAATACTAATTTACACAAAAATTCAAAAGTAATATGAAAAGGCTTGAACCAATTAGATAAAAAACAACGTAGCCAATTTAAAATGCCTCACTACGCCAAATCAACTTTTGCATGACTCCTAATCAATTTTCTTCATGAAGCTAGCATTCTCAACAACACAAATTGATAGAGCAAAAAACAGGGCAGAGAAGATGCTTAAAATCTCTATATTATGATCTTTGATCCTTCATGAAGGTGAGAAGTCAATGTCATATTTGGCTATTCGAATTTTAACGGTATGCTTCCTGTATGATATAATGATGTAGATGGAAAAGGAGCACATAATTGGTTTTGTAACAGTTAAGGATCCAACGATAAAGAAGATACGTGGATTGCTTCAAGGCACCCCATTGACGTGTTGTGTGCAAGTGACTGAAGAGTTTACTAATTATAAAGAAAAATGTCACCGAGCATATTATTAATTAATTATAAATTTATCTTTCAGCATTCAACATACCCATATATACGTTGAGACTCCTCCAGTGACGTTTCAGGTGGCTCTTGACACCGGGAGTGACGTGTTTTGGTTGCCATGCCGCTTCCAAAATTGTTCGACTTACTTTGTGACTTCAAGGAGAAAGGTATACATCCGTATGTAGAATTTTTGACGTGATTTTTTCATATATAATTTTTTTCTTATTGATGTATGGAGTTATAGATAAAATGATTTCAAAATATGAGAGATTTTACCTCGTAACTCTCAAATTGTAATCAAATTAAGGAAGGAAGGAGTATATGTTTCTTTGTGGTATGAACTCTATCATCACCATAGTGTTAATTATTTACCTATATAGCCAATATCTTAGCCCTAAATTAAAGTAATTAATACAAGCATTAAGCTTTCCATTCTTAATATAAATGTATCCCATGCTCCTCTCGTTCATCTCATCAAATATCTCCATCTTCTTTTCTTACGTTCTTTATCGAATTATATCTTTTCTTACTATACTTTCCTCTGTTAACGTCTCTCTTCTAAACCCACCAGCAGCATGGATAAATTATTTTTCATTATCCCCATCAACGTTCTTCTTCGTCTTCTTCTAATCTGTTTAACTCATGCAATCGCATCCCTACCAGCGCAGCATTTTAATGTCTATCATCGCCATTCCCAGGAGGTCGTGCGGGTCTTAGGCACTGGCGGCCTGCCACTAAAGGATTTTGCGGAATACTATTCCACCTGGGCGGCTTTTGATCAACACCGCCACCGGCAACTCTCTCCAGCCGCTAGGGATTTGTCGGCATATACATTTGCCGGAGGAGATGTCACCAAATATATATAGCGTTTGGGATAGTAAGTTGGTACCCGGCCGTATGATTCATTCATGCACATTCAGAGTTTATAAATAAATTTTTTTCTTTTGAATTTATATATAATTAAGGGAGATATATAATTAATACCGAGCATATTATTAATTAATTATAAATTTATCTTTCAGCATTCAATATGCCCATATATACGTTGGGACTCCTTCGAGGCCATTTCTGGTGGCTCTTGACACCAGGAGTGACGTGTTTTGGTTGCCATGCCGCTTCTAAAATTATTTGACTTACTTCGTGACTTCAAGGGGAAAGGTATTCATCCGTATGTAGAACTTTTGACGTAATTTTTTCATATATAATTTTTTTTCTTATTGATGTATGGAGTTATAGATAAAATGATTTCAAAAGATGAGAGATTTTACCTCGTAACTCTCAAATTGTAATCAAATTAAGGAAGGAAGGAGTATATGTTTCTTTGTGGTATGAACTCTATAATCACCAGAGTGTAAATTATTTATTCATATAGCCAACATCTTAGCCCTAAATTAAAGTAATTAATACAAGCATTAAGCTTTCCATTCTTAAAATAAATGTATCTCATGCTCCTCTCCCAATTCATCTAATCAAATCTCCTTCTTTTTTTACGTTCTTGAATTATATCCTCTGCTAGCGTCTTCTAAACCCAGCAGCATGGATAAATTATTTTTCATTATCTCCCTCAATGTTCTTCTAATATGTTTAGCTCATGCAACCGCATCGTTACCAGCACAGTATTTTAATGTCTACCATCGCCATTCCGAAGAGGTCGTGAGGGTCTTAGGCACTGGCGGCCTGCTACCAAAGGATTCCGCGGAATACTATTCCGCCCGGGCGACTTTTGATCATAACACCGCCACCAGCAACTCTCTCCGGCCGCTAGAGATTTGTCCGCATATACATTTGCCGGAGGAAATGTCACCAAATATATATAGCATTTGGGATAGTAAGTTGGTACCCGGCCGTATGATGCATTCATGCACATTCAGAGTTTATAAATAAATTTCTTTCTCTTGCATTTATATATAATTAAGGGAGAAATAATAAATTTCTTTCTCTTGCATTTCATGAAACGTATATATTTGTTCGGTTATTAACATCTATTGTATGTTCCTGCTTTTTTTATAAGTGCGGAGAAGTGGAGACGGAGCTTTTCTGGGCGGGGGAGGTCTCAATGGCTTACTCGGTCTCGGGCACACGTCTTCGGATGTGACAACCCTCTTGTCGTCCCAAGGGTTGATCCGAAATTCATTCTCGATGTGTTTCGCACACGACGAGAATGGTCGGATTGCCTTTGGGGACAAAAGGGGGTGCGGACCAAAGGGTTACGCCATTGGTGGATTACGCTAAAGGGTTCAAGCTGTAAAAAATTGAACCAATTTTCATTTTGTTTATTGAGCCTAGTTAAATTTTGGATTATTTGATCGGGCTAGAATTTGATTTGGCTCACTTTCCATTCACATGATTTTGAGTTGTTGTTCTATTTGTTAAAACGACAAGGTTCCATTGACACTCTCATCTAGTGTCAAGGTTGATGCTCGCCTACCTCGAGCATCTCTTGTGCTCCGAATGAAAAATTATTGATGGTTCTTATTGTTAGAAATATCAAACAAAAAGGGAATAGTGTAATATCTTGATAATATCCTTGATTGGAATCAAATTACCAATCAGGATATTTGATTAACTTCCACTCACTTTCCTTGATTGTTTTCATTATTAACTTTGTAATATTTATAGACATTATTAGAGATGTATTCAATAAGATGAACATTTTTTAGCTGTGAATTGATTCTATATTTCTAATATGGTATCAAAGCCATCATTCGATCAAAACAATTGAATGATACGCAGCGTTCATCATCTACCATAAAAAAATGTCCGATCCAACTCCAGAGAGTTCCACCTACACAGGGGAATCCGATCCAATGAAGCAGCCAGTCAACCTTGCACAAATTCTGGAAATTCTCCAAAATTTTCAAAATTTAGCACCCAAGGCCGAACCTATCGAGAGCTCTTCCAATCAGCCGTTAAATTTGGCGGAAAAACTCAACGATAGGAACTACGCCATTTGGGCGCGTAAAATGAGCCTGGCTCTGGACGGGAGAGGACGGCTCAAGCACATCATCGCCGCACCTCTCAAATCTGATGATGCCAAATATATTAAATGGAGACAAGCAGATTCAACGGTAATAACGTGGATACTTGAAAACATAGAATCGGATATTGTTAATCAATATATCGATTACCCTACTGCCTGGGATTTGTGGAAGGGGATCGAAGCCACGTACAGCTCCGGAAAAGATCCCCTCCAAATCTACGACCTGATAGTTAAGGCCAGCGAAATCAAACAAGGTGAACAGAGGATATGACGATTTTCACACAGATTCAACAACAAAATCGTCTATATCAATTTTTACAGGCAATAAACAATGAATTTGATGCTGAAAAAAGAGATATACTCAAAACAGAGCCTCTTCCATCAATTGAAGAGGCGTACGCCCAAATTCGAAGGGAGGCAGCAAGAAAAGGAATAATGAAAGGAGAAGGGCCATCATCGGGAGAATCTCCCTCAGGAATTGGCGGTGGCCTAGCGGCTACACGCGCGGCGGTGCGATCAGATTTTCGCCAATCATCATCTCGCAT